GAAATTCAATTGATAATTTTAATTCATTTAATTCATCTGAGCTAAAATTAGAGTGGACTTCATAGAAAACGCGAAATTATAATACGAAATGAATGATCAGACAAGCGTTCATCAAGTTGGCAATAATTTAATGTCTGACTGTTGAATTTCAATACTTAAAATGAATTAATTTGATATCTCACAATGCACTTAATTATAAATAATCTTAGTTACAAAGAACATATACCATAGACTCAAATTTGGCTACAAACTGGACCCTTCCGTACGACGAATTCACGAATCTTTTAAAAGACGATCTTGCAACAAGCCAACAACAAGACATTTAAAACATTTCAAAGACCAGTATCGTTACCTCATCCTATCTCTGCTATTGCTTGGAATGCAGAATATGAAATACGCGTGTTGCACACTGTTTAGTGTTAACAACAATGTGTTGTTGTAAGATTTACCTACATACATGAATCGTCTTTATAGACTCTGATGCAGGCAGCCACTCATCAACTTATTAAGCCTGATGTATCTATTGAGATGGTAGGCATTAATTTATAATGCCTGAATTACTCTTCCCATTGACCCCACAGGTTGTTTACGTGTCACGTAATCCCAAGGACAACGTACTGTCCGCTCAGCACCACTACAAGCTACACAAAATGAACAACTTCGTCGGCACGCAGGATGAATTTGTTGACCTTTACGTGGAAGACATACGTGAGATTCACTCATGTTTTGGTTCTATTGCAGAGTTAAAAATATAATAAAACACTGCAATCGTAGTTTTTTCAACGCTCTTTCAGAGACAGTTGTAGAATCATAAATAATCCTGATGTCATTGTGTTTTAGAAAAATCGTCGCGATTTTAGTTTTATTTAGAGAGTGTATTTACAGTGTTGTGAATGAAAAAAGATACTCCTTGCGGTATTTTTAGCTCGTTTTCCTTGTTGTGTAGCCCGTATACGGGCAGCACCTGAGGGAGGCGTGGTTTTTTGATTCGAAACATATTAGATAATTTTAAAATATTCCCCTCCAAAAATAATCTCTAATCTCACGATTCCATGCACCGGAATAGTATTTCAAGACCAACCCAGCGTTGGCGCTATAATCGTAATCAAAGCCCAACCCCGCGTTGGCACTAAAATCGTTATCAAAGCCCAACCCAGCGTTGAAACTAAAATCGTTATCAAAGTCCAACCCAGCGTTGGCGTAATCAAAGACCAACCCAATCGTTATCAAAGCCCAACCCAGCGTTGGCACTAAAATCGTTATCAAAGCCCAACCCAGCGCTGGCGTAATCAAAGACCAACCCAATCGTAATCAAAGACCAACCAACCCAGCGTTGGCACTAAAATCGTAATCAAAGACCAACCCAGCGTTGGCACTAAAATCGTTATCAAAGCCCCACCCAGCGTTGGCACTAAAATCGTTATCAAAGCCCAACCCAGCGTTGGCGTAATCAAAGACCAACCCAGCGTTGGCACTAAAATCGTAATCAAAGTCCAACCCAGCGTTGGCACTATAATGGTAATCAAAGTCCAACCGAGGGTTGGTGCTATAATCGTGATTAAAGCCAACCCAGCGTTGGCGCTATAATCGTAATCAAAGCCCAACCCAGCGTTGGCACTAAAATCGTAATCAAAGCCCAACACAGCGTTGTCACTATTTTCATAATCAAAGTCCAACTCAGCATTGGTGCTATAATCGTGATTAAAGCCGACCCAGCGTTGGCACATCAGAAGACGGGAAATACTAAGAAATAGAAATTATTCTTACCCAACGACGTTAAGATATGTTAAGAGTGTTACCCTAGTGAAAATGATTTGTTACGTTACTTACGTGTTATTAAGAGGCTGCAATTAATGAATAATTATCGTATGTTATAACTGCATGTCGATACAATTGAGAAATAAAGTGTATTCATTCGATAGACGATAATCTATTGTGCATGATTACATTGAAATTCTCTCAAGATAATATATAAGTAAAGGGTGGATTGAAAACGATTGGACTGAAATGTGTACTCATGATTTGGGATCTTATTCGATGTTATTTTGCAAGTCATCTAATTTGCAAGTCATAAAAATTTGCAAGTCATCTAAATCAGGCGTGGAACGTATACAATACATAACAATAATATTTCTTCTACGTATCATAAGAATTGAATTAATGTAACTTTTCTTACGCCAAATAATCTGCTTTTTCATCCATATAAAATTGTGCTGGAATATCTGCCCATTAATTTACGATAACTTCGAAGCAGTAGATCTACCGCGACGTATGAACATATGATAACCTTTAGCGGCAGGATTTACCGGAATTCGGTCCCGTAAAAAAATCTCAAGAGGGAACCATACATACGTAGTTTTCTGGAATATAATTTTTCAACCGAACGTAGTTTTCTAGAAGTAAGTCAATGGTTTAGATCGCTCAATGTCACGGTAACAAATTTAACTCGTTATAAAGCGCTTTATAGATGTCATTTTAGGAATTTGTTTTCCTCCAATTTGTCATTGCATTAATATATAAGCAAACAAAAACTCACATCCCTTCACCCGCCGTTTATCTCCAATCAGCTTTAATATTCGTCAAAAGTCTAATATTGACAAATTAAATAATGCAACTTAAATTCTATCATAAGATACATCAAGCCTATTGCCCACTGCCTCAGTCCGTCGGATACACGAAACTGCTATCTAATTCTTTATAAATATCTACGTGTTCAAAGTACACGATTCCAGCATTTATTTCCGAACAGAATCATGAGACTGTCTCTTAAAGTTATGAACTGACCGGTTGAAGATGTTCAATAAGCAGGTATTTTTTAATTAGGAAATTACAATAATTAGATGTTGCAGTGAAGTATAATTTCGCAAAGAATGTTAACTCTGCAGGAAGTGAATCTAATGAACCTGGAGACAGTACGACGTTTAAAATTGCTCTGATAACGAAAATACGCTGACTAGTATGACTATACGCTAGTAGCTGATACATTTAGAGTTGCATTTGATTCCTCATGTCTAAAAAAACACTAAGGGGAACTTTTGCCCCCCGCGTGCTATACACATCGGCTACTCACTTGAGTTGCTAAATCGTCCTTCCTTCTTCATGGACTCCATTCATTTGCGCAGAGTTCAAGACCATTTGTGTTGTTTAGGTGATTTCTTCCTCCGTCTGTTTTGAAGGTTTTCAAAATTTTTTTTTCCAGAGTCATCACATTATTCGATCACTTCACATTGCTGTCAAAGCACCTGTTCAGCTCATTTTTTCCAAACATCACTGGCACGAGTCTGAATTAAGTACACTCTTCTTGCCAGGCATTGCAGAGGCTGGGGCGGCTAGCTGCAGCTTATTAGACTTTACCGACACAAAGAAAACTTTTCGCCAGACTTGGGGTTTTAGCTAAATAAAGTTGGCTGGTCAGGACGTTTCATTGAGAAAATCCATGTATTTAAATCGAACATTATTTCTTTGAAAGTGTTTTTTATGTCGTAGTTCAGGTGCAATTCACCCGTGTGAAGCCGATTGAGCCAAAAAAAACTTATATTAAATAATATGTTTGCAACAAAAAGTTTATAAATACATATATTTCCAGTAAAATCTTTACTCAGTCGTAGAAAAAAAATTGAGGCCGACTACCCTCTAATCGACTCGACTACTCTCATGAGGTCGACTACACTAAAAAGTAATCTCTAATCTCATTGTTACATGCATCGGAGTAGTAGGGTAACATATGGGGCAATCGGACCAGTGCGGGTCACGGGCCCAAAGCGGGTTTCCCGCTAAGTTTGGCAGATATTGGCCCGTGCGCTCAATCGCCGGTCGACAGTTGCACTGGGATGAAGTGTTCGGCTCTATGTTTTGCTAAGAGTTTGCGTTGTTAAGTTATTTGCAAATAACTGTTTTACCCCAGATTTTTTTGCTGCTAAAGAAAACTGTTTTCAATAACTGTGTATGAAGCTTTTGAATTACTGTGAATTATATTTTGAAGTATTATTTGGAGGGATAATTTTGAGTTTAAGTTTAGATTATTAGCTTTCAAAATAAAATGTTTATACGATATCAATAGAAATTATACCTAGTGGGGCAACGGGCCCATGCGTGTCACGGGGCAAAGCGCCCATGGTGGGATAAATACCCCTCTGTAAAGTCTTGTGTTATACATCATTAGATTTGTCCCAATGAGCTTTTCAAAACTATCACTAGCTTTTTGAATTACAAATTACACTTTATATTGTATGATTTTTGATTTGCCGCCCCAAGGCAGCAGGTTTAGTTAAATAATGCAACTTAAATTCTATCATAAGATACATCAAGCGTATTTCTAGTTGTGCGTATTTATGACCCCTTATCGAGTTATTGACTCATGCCTTGCCAAAAGTTGATTTCTGTCAACACCAATGAGCCAAAAGTTGACGAGTTTTTATGGTGTTGGCTGAAATCACGATTAAGTACGAATTCCTTTCACATGCATAATACCTGGATCATGGACGAAACTGGAACGAAGTTTTTTCTGATCATTTATATACATTTTTTAATCTCAGGGATGAATTTTTGATGGCAGGGATATATTTTTCAAGTCAAGGATTTTTATGTCAAAGAAATATTTTTTCACGTCAGTGATAGATTTCTTAAGCCAAGAATATGTTTTTTTTTTTTCAAGTTAAGAATGTGATTTTTTAAGTTGTTAATAAATGAATGAATGCAATATTTTTTATTAAATTTTTTCTTATTTTGAACTGTAAAGTGTTGTTTTATCACTTGTAAGCAAAAATATTGCAATTGTGGTATAGGGACCAGGGGTTGGCGCATTACCCCAAGCCCATGGACCCATTGCACCAGGGGTGGGGCAATGGGCCCATTTTGACACTTTTTACAAAATTGTGTTTAACTCAATAGGCGTGTAATTCAAGTCACACATTCCTCATTGGACGTAACTTTAAACAAAACAAAGAGCCTCTTCGTATAAATTAAAACTTCATCAAAAATTTGGTTTAAACAAATTGGGGGGGCGCGCTGCCCCATGTTACCCTATTTCAAGCCCAACCCAGCGTTGGCACTACAGTATAATCGTAATCAAAGCCAAACCCAGCGTTGGCAAATGCAAGCATAAGCATGGAACCGGCAATAATAGCCTAATATCTGGCCTAACTCTCCCTGAAGCTGGAATTGGTTAACTTGGCTATCATCAAAGTTGCGTCTCTCCTTGCCAGCCAAAACCCTCTTGTGTAAGTAACTAATGAAATACTGCGCAATTAACCATACTGACATAAAGCATTCATTTCATGCCAGTTCTAATCTTGTCATCGAGTAAGACAATTAACAACGCTCAGCTACAATGTTGTTAATTAAGCCTAAACAATGGGAGGCCAGCTTCTTCCTAGTGTAAGTTTCATGTATGTATTTCTCGACCTAATATCTAATAATGTATATTATTTCCAGCTTACGTCACCAAGTCACTTACTTTACCATTGTCATAAACGATAGCGAGTAAAAACTACAAAAAATCGTGCAATTTCTTCTTGCACACCAAACCACATCCGTGTCAATTTAGACAATATGACATTCATTCTTCTGAGTAGGGTAGTCTCACGGCAGCTCGACGGGCACCAAGATACGTTGCATGGAGTGCGTCAGCTTTGAAGGCATGCAGAACAAAACCCTTGGTTTGATAAAGCAGGGTAAGATTGTACCGAGAAAAGTTTAATAGAACGAATATATATCCACTTGTGCTTCGCGTTATCCTTCATGTGCTGATAAACAAGTTGACGTTAACAGTCATTCGTGCGTTGGCTACCGACGAGTTACCAATGCGCTCATACAGGCCTGTGTGTCGGTGTATCGCGGCATGATCTGATAGGAGGGAGTTCGTGGACTTCATGCAGAGTTCGTGAAATTCAGGGCAGTCTTCATTTAGTTCATGGCAGAGTTCATCTATTTTATGGCTGAGTTCGCGGACTTCAAGGCAGAGTTCGTGTAATTCAGGGCAGAGTTCGTGGAATTCGTGGCAGAATTCGTTGAATTCATGCAGAGTTCGTGGAATTCATGGCAGAGTTCGTTGAATTCATGGCAGAGTTCGTGTAATTCATGGCAGAGTTCGTGGAATTCATGGCAGAGTTCGTGGAATTCGTGGCAGAGTTCGTTGAATTCATGGCAGAGTTCATTGAATTTATGACAGAATTCGTTTATTTCATGGCAGAGTTCGTGTAATTCATGGCAGACTTCATCTAATTCATGGCAGACATCATCTAATTCATGGTCCAGTTCACCTTCCAATCCAGTTCACCTTCCAATCCAGTTCACCTTCCAATCCAGTTCACCTTCCAATCCAGTTCACCTTCCAATCCAGTTTGCTGGTGCACGCGATGATTTAGGAAATGCCGCCGCTTACTCAGCACTTGTCTGCGTATATTCTTCCTCTGCTGCTTCTAGAACCAGTAAGTTGAGCCAGGACGTAGGTAGTCGTTGGGGTTACTCCGTTTCAACTACTTGTTACTCCTTGAGTTTGTTGAGTCGTTAGAGTTACTCCGGCTCAACTACTAGCTACTACAGGAGTTAGTAGAGTCGTTAGAGTTACTCCGGCTCAACTACTTGCTACTCCAGGAATTAGTTGAGTCGTTAGAGTTACTCCGGCTCAACTACTTGTTACTCCAGGAATTAGTTGAGTCGTTAGCGTTACTCCGGCTCCCATTGAACAAGCAGAACCAAACTGTAAGTCTGTAACCCTGTAATTCGTGCCGATCAGACGCCGTTCTATCCATACTCGCTTGTACTCGTAGTGACACTGCTCTGCTGTGTTGTATTTTAGAGGCTTTAACGCGCATAAAGTGTCTAGCCTTACTTATCCTTCTATTAACTAGACGCCAATAGTTAGAACTATACTCATTGGGTAATGAAGAAAAACACAACTTTAACTCCTGTGCAACTAGAGAATTTGAACCTCACAACAGCAGCCTTGAAAGAAATTTAAAAAAAATTGTAAATCAACCAATAAGAAATATTTCATTTAAATGCAATTAACTTCAGTCGATCGAAAAGAAACAACAGGATACATGTAGATCAATGCATTTTCGCGTGTCTTAAATGCAGTTATCTAATTGAGTATTCAGTATTAATCGTACTAGTAATATTCAGTATTTGGAGGGGAGTGCTGCTGGAAAAACATGATTAGACTAAGAAAAAAATTGATTGTTTCTGTCGTCTCATATATTTTAAAGTTGGAAAAATCGGAGTGGTTAGTCTATCAATTTTACGTTACGTTCAGGTTCCAGATATTCGTCAGGTTGACGCCGAGTGGCTTGATAGGCACGTATGAAAAAAGTTCACGCATGAATAGGTCGCGGCAAAATTATCGTACAGAGAGAGGGTTGTAATGAAACACTGATACATTTCATATTAAATTGGTAAATTCAAGTTCACATCCTACGTCAACAAAAAATCTCTAATATAAGAAAAAATATAACTCAGTACTCACTGCAGTGAGTGACAGAGAGCGCATTTTCTCGTCGTCGAAAACTTGAGGTCACAGACAGACAGACGGACGGACATGGCGAGCACAATAGTGCATTTTTTCCATAAATGAGATAATGCGCTAAAAAGAAAGTCCGAACACAATCAAAATTGAAAACCTATCAGTTAACATCACTAAATTTTCTCTAATTACCAGAAACATAGATCCGTTGCAGTTCCGTTGAGTAGACGGCTGTTGTAAACGACCGTATAATACACGCACACTTTGCGGCCGAAGGTTCAGCGGCCGTACCGCTGCTGTATTCTCGCGTTTGCAGCCGTATTACAAGTGGCTGTACTGCAGCTGTAGCCGCGCGTCCTCGCGATCGCTGTTCTTCATAACATAACATATTGATCTCGGCGCTGAAGTATAGGCCTGATGTGGCCTGTCGCCGATTCTTTTCCTTTTCGTGCCTTGTTCACAGAAGATCTAATATCGTTTTATTTGACCGGATCTTTTCATGACTGACGATAGTTTCAAGTAGCTACTAGACTTCCAGCGGGTTTGATATGGTGCTAGGCATTTCAAATCTGAACATATATTTTTCCATAGCTTTAGCTAGTCTGTTCTTGAACGCGTTCATACTTGGAGCGCCAACTAACGAAAACCTCGCAGGTTAGGTCCAGTTAGGAACAGGTTCCATTAAAAATTTCCGATGCCGACCACCAAAAACGGATTTCACATTCTTAATCTACACCCCAAAAAACATATAATTAAAAATAAAACACCTTTTTTTGGATGCACTTAATCTAAAGTAATACCGGATATTTGTTAATTAATTATCACGGTAATATGATAAATTCGAGCTAACACGTTCCGATTTTCTCTGTTCCATGAAACAGTTGATATGGGAAACAATATATCGGAGGTTTGCACTAAGATAGCCAGCGGCCACACGGTGCATGAGGTCGACTGCGCCACTAAAGAGAAGATCGACAAGCTGCTGCTGGGGCCGTGCGTGGACGTGGTGCTGCTGAGGCCCCACAACTGGGTTGTACTTCGAAGATTCCTGCAAATTCACGAGAAGATCTACAACTTCAAGGTTTGTGGGGTTTGCTTGCGCAAACTATAAAGATTTTTATTAATGGTCTAATTTCATATAAATTTTCGATGTATTGTGAAATAACAATTAGCTTCGTGCACAAATTTTGAACATTAAATTTTAATCCTCCTCTTATGTGGCATCTCTTCTTGTTGCTTTCGTGATGCAAATGACCCATCGTTTAACTGTAACTTTTGGTAGTTTACTATGCGCAGAAAACAAATACTGTTCTATTTAGAATAACTTCGCTGAACGAACTGTATTGCAGTTTCGACCGGACGATGTAGTGGTGATGACATACCCTAAATGTGGTACCACATGGATCCAGGAGATCGTCTGGAACATGAGGAACAACCCAGACCTCGACAACCCAGACGCCGACGACGCACTCGTCGTACGCAGCCCCCAACTTGAGTGAGATTAGTGGGGTTAATTTGTGACTAGCATTCGGGCTGTATACTTCTTTCTTATAGCTGGAAATGCTAAGAAACTATCTTGGGGATCTAGTAACAATAAATCACTTTCAGGTCATGTACTTCCTACTGCTTCCTAATGAAATGCTAAAAAACTATTTTTGTGTTCTACTAACAATAAATCACATTCATATCGTGTACTTTCTACTTGGGATTGTCGTGTACTTCCTACATGGGATTTTTGTATTTACCAACAATAAATGCACAGAAACGGTTTCAATTTTGTTCTTGTTATATTCCGTTGGTTATAGTATTTAAACGTGCAATGAATTGGTAAAATTTAATGATAGAACCAGTGGTGGGCACAGTCTGCTAATCCGACAACCGCTAATTAGCGAAGCTAACTTTTTCTTTAGCTGGTCTGCCACACTGATGGCTGACTATGTCAACATATGTACGTCAACCAGTCACGACTTGTGTAACAAGAGACGTGATAGGTTACACAAGACGTGATTGATTGACGATCATATGTTGACGTAGTCAGCCATCAGTGTGGCACACCGGCCAAGAAAAACGTCATCTTCGCTAATTAGCGGTTAGAGGATTAGCGGACTGTGCCCACCACTGGATAGAACCTTTCCCTCTATTGAATCAAAGAAGAAACCTAATTCGTGTCGTAAATGTGTTTAGTAGAAACTGTTTGAAAATGACATAGAATTTGTAAAGAATCGCATACTAATTAAATACATGGAGTTTAATGCATCATGGTCTGGTTAGTTATGATTGCAATATCATTCTCCTTTCTTTTCACATTTCACTAGTGGAAGCGGCAAAAAATTTTCATGAATCCAATATTTGAGTTTTTAGCTAAAAGAAATAGAAAGAACATTGTCCAAATAGTGATGCACTTTTACCTTTGTGAAGGTGATCTTGACCCATATTTGGCCCAGCAACGTCCGCTCGCTGTGGGTAAGGACGTGAGTCGTTACTTAGGCAATAAGATCTACTCATTTTTCGTTCAATTTCGTCATGGTTCTTTGGCTTGTATATTCGCTGGGTGCACAGGGGTGACATGTTTTCCGTGCCTGAAATGTCATTCGACATTGCTTCCACTGTCGTCTTCACGAAGGGCATCCAAAAATACATCTGGAATCTCTTCCACCTACTGGGAAGTACACCAATGTTGAAGGTATGGTAAAATAATTACGGATTATTGGTACGATTTATACAATATTACTTCTCTAACGAAATGCAGAAACTGCA